GATGCGTGAACCGCAAATATTTTGAGATTTAACCCTAGTCTGGTCACCTGACGGGAAAATGCGACTTTAGTCACCTTCGCGGGAGAGTGCCGCCGTGTTATTTAGGCTCCAGCGTTGCCGAATCCACTCTACACTTCCCGGGCGCGTTTAGCGAGTTCCCAGCAACGTCGCGCAACAAGCAATTTCATTTAACACGGGAAAAAATTGTTCACCTGTTGGAAATAATTTTTTTTCTCCCCGAATTAAGGATATAATATCGAAAAAAAAAATACTAGAATTTTCCAGATACTTCAACTGACGAATTCAATTTTTCTCAAATTTTTCCGGTCATCCAGTCGATGGCAAGGTGAATAAAACGACGTGTTGCGGCAATTCCCTCGCGTGGTGACCAGTCTAGGGTTAAACCATTGAAAATAATTTACCTCTCTCGAGTAAATATTGTCTACATATTAGGAAATTTTTCTCTCAGTGTAGAATGATTTTTCCAGCAAACGTAAACTAGAAGGAAAAAAAATCCCCTCAGTGCAACGACTGGAAATTCAGCCGCAAAATTCATGTGCAAGTGAAAACTGGAACTTTGTGCTTCCTCGACTGTCGGATTATCCCGATAAACACCCGTTCGTCCTGAATGTTCCGTCGGCCCGGTATGTTGGCGCCTCTTGTCGCGGAAAAAAAAATGAGAAAAGGCTCTTGGGCTCTAAACGCTCGGACAATCTTGCTGAGGGGATTGTAATGGTTCCGTTGAAATTGAAACTTGGTTTGATAGGTATCCCCTGTTACGACGGCAAGATAAAGCTCGTGAGAAAATGCCAGAGTGTAACACCCGACATAACTGTTATATTTTACGATCCGACGAAAGCTCCAATCCCCTATCCATAGTCAAAAAGTTGTGTATTTCTGAGACAACAAAATTGAGTCTCCAGGGAAATTTCCTACATGATGAGTTCGGTAGAAATTATCTTATTGTTTTGTAAAGGATGCAAAGAATTTTCCACTGAAATTTCCAGAACAAGAGTCTTGGAAATCTTTGACATGTAATATTTCCACTGAAATTTCGAGGAATTTTGTCATTGAAAGTTCATAATTTCATGTAGAAATCCGTGCGAACTGGAATTTTCAGTTTAATCGTTCCGCTTTTATAGAACAGTGGTAATAATTAGTAATAATTTTAGTTAATTTCTAGGAGAATAATAATAATTTTCGCCAATTTGTCTCTCCATCGACAATCCTTGAATTGATATTCCCGAAAGAGGTCACAAGTACTTCAATTCCGTGATTAGACCCTACCTGACGATCGCAATGGGATTCTCGCCCGACATATATTAGCGAATATTCTGAGGAGACGTGTCTCGGGGTAATTAATCTCGGCGTCACCCTCTGAAGGGATTTAATCGGCTTTAATCGAGTCAGTGGGTCTGGGCAGACGACTCGGAGCTCTCGTTCACCGGATGTTTTTCGGTATCACTCCCTTGGAGTCTTTTTCAAAATAACGGAACGGAGTCGTGGAAACGGGGGAGTTGTTGAGATTAAATTTGTCTCTTGATATTCGGGGGATAACTATGGGGAATGATTGGTGGCGCTGTGTGAAATTTTCAATTACGGAAAGTGACAGTTCTAATTCTTCCGAAAGGTGTGAAATTCCCTGGGTTAAACGGGAATTTTTGCACGGAGAGAAGTATTCAGCAAAAATTACGGAACAATTCACGTAATCCCCAGTGGGGAATCGTTTTCTGGCAATTTTATAGGAATGGAAGAGAAGAAATCTGAAACTCTCAGTGAATTCTCTGGTTTATCACCGAACAAAGTACGAAATTGCCACGTAATTTTTCCCGAAGAAGTAAAAACGTACAGGAACTTCCTGACTTATTATGCTTCAAAAAAAAAATTGTTGAACGTTCAACAATTTTTATGAAGCTGGTGAGGTATTTCTACGGTCCGTTCCGTAAAATTTTTCAATCGTTGGGGAAAAATTACGGAACGACTTGTCCCCGCGGTGAGTCATTAGACGAGTGGTCAATTTTTATGGAACAAATCGTAGAATTTACGTGGCGATTCGTACAATTTCAGTTCCGACTCACATTTTTTATTCAATTTCACTTCGCTCGCGAATTACTGTTCGAAACGTAATTTTTACGTTTTTTTCTGGTAATTTTTATTTAATTTTTCTCTCCGTGTGATAAAAAAGATCCCTGAATACACAATTAGAAAAAAATTTGGATTTCATGGAATGTTAACTAGTAATTTTAAGAAGAATGGCATTGAATGCTATTTAGGTAGGGGAGGGCCAATTATCAATATCTTCATTTATAAGTGAAGATATTGACAATTAGAGAAGATCACGAAACGTCCCATTTTGCCTGATTCACCCCTAGAAAAAGATAATTAAATTTCTAATTTCTCTAACATTTCCTTGAAATTTTAAATTTGCGAGCAGCAGGAAGACAAGATTTCCTCAACTTCTGTAAAGTTTCAATTAAAAAATTAATATTCGGTGTCGAATTGCAATGCGTTTTCAATCAAATAAAAATTCAAGAATTACCTAGACTACCTGAATTTTCCTGATTTTTGACGTATTCTCCTGTAATAAATTTTCGCGTCACCTTTCGACGATATGAATTCATGAAAATGGCTTTCTCGTAACTTGCACCCCACATCTGATCAAACTTTCCACCATTGTTGGCATACCCAACGGGTTAACTCCAATTACAATGAGGATTATAAAAATACTGAGGGAACATGTTCTCCGCGTATTTCTTCAGACTGTAAAAAACCTCTAATTAAATTTACATTTTTATTCCCAGTGAAAAAAAAAATGCCTCTACCCAAGGAAACAAGAGTTTTATTTTGCTCCCCATTGGAGTGAAGTTAATTAACGAGAATAAAAGTTCATTATTCTTCCCAGCCGTTAAAAATTCATAGAGAAAATTTTTTCACACCGCGCGAGGAGCCTCGAATTTCCGCCTACCTTCCCTCTAGTTCTTTTAACAGTTGCAAGGGTGAATTTACCAGTGCCCCTAATATCCTTGCGTTTCATCCACGCATAGGACAGGCATAAAACGTGAGGAAATGAGATTCCACCCCTTCGTGAAAATTCCTCACGCCACTTGGTCTCGTAAAGAGAGCATTCAAACCGGGGGCATTTCTCTTTTTTCGTAAATAGCATGGTAATACATCATTTAGAAAAGGGTCCTTGGGAATTTTCCGGAGCTTTTCCGGTGGAGACTCACGGGCGTGATTCTCCTTACTAATGAGGCGAGGAATCATGCTGTACAAACACAAGATGTGGGACAACAAAAAATTAGGAGGGAAAAAGTAATGGGGAGCAACTTGTTTTTTAATTCGTTGTCCGTCGCAAGGACATCAGTGAATGATCCGTCGTGGCCTCAGTGGGAATTACTTTGTGCGGGAACAATGAAGTGCGTCAATTGTCATTGATGAAACATGGTTATAGAATTGTCCACTAAAGTTCGTAAATAGTCTGGACTTGCACCCACACGGAGCGAAATTTTTGATAAAAATTATCCTACAGTTCTATAAAAGTGCATCATGAGTCGTTTCCTCATTTCTATCACGAAATTTAGGAAAAAAATTTATATGTGGACGTCCACATGAAACGGGGCCACTGTGTCGATTCTAGTTTTCGAGATGTTCACATTTTTGTGCCAGCAACTCCCATTTGCACCAATGTTTAATTTTTTTTCCCATCTTCTCCAACGACGTCATTTTTGACCCTATGAAGATCATTTTGGGCTCAATATATGCGGAATGTTATCAATATTATCAGAGTATACATAAAACCATATCGACAAAGTGGTCCCTTTTCACGCGGACGTCCACATATGATTATCAAATTTTATACTACGTTAGAGAAATTTTATCCTGATAAAAATAAAAATTGCCGTGCCGGTAGAGTAAAAATTACTGTGCCGGTAGGGTAAAGTTTACCAACCGCTCTAGAATTAGAAAAAAATTTTCAGGATAAAATCAGGATAAAATTTTTCTAACGCAGGATAAAATTTGATTATCATGTATTAATTTTTACTAAATTCCGGGATAGAAATGAGGAAACGACAACTTATGATACACTTTTATAGACCGGTAGGATAATTTTTATCAACAGTTTCTCTTCATGTATGTATTCTGTTCACGAACTTTAGTGGACGTCCCAAGTAGGAATTGACGATGGAAACAAGGCTCATCAAACCCTGAACCAAAGCTCGCAAATTCATTAGTTATTGTTAAGAAATGGATTTGGTTGAAGTCTAGGATCTAGTGGTGCCGTCGAGACTAGACGATAATTATTTTGGAAAGATCATCACGGTCTAAAAAACATCGAAAGTTTAGGAATCGTCGTAATCTCGAAAGACATTGGATCGGTGCTTCGGAGCTTCAGTATTTGCTGTTTCTCAAATGCTTGTCTAGATATCCGTCTCATCTCGTCTCGTCAACTTAAAAAACCGAAAATCTGGAGATCCAGGCAAGATAAATCCTCCTGGAATTGTGACGAGATGTACCGATCCAATGTGTTTCGAGATTGCGACGATTCCAAAACTTTCGATGTTTTTCCAGACCGTGATGATCTCTTTAAAATGATTCAAGTGAACCATTCGTTAACTATTAACGAATATTTATTTGGTCATATTCAACTCTACCATTCATTAATATAATATTTAACGAATCTCGTTTGAAATGAATGAATCAGTCTATCAGTGCATCGCCAATTCCTATCTGGGAAAGGATTCTAACAACAGAAGAATTGTCAGAGCCCATATATACGAAATAAACACAAAACATCTCCCATTTAAGAAACAACCGTATTCTTAAATCAAGAAGCATTTCATCCCTGGAAGAAAAACATTTGCGCGAACTCGTTGATGTCCACACAAAGGAAACATAAAAAATGAAAGAAGCGTAAAAATAAACAATCGGTATAATCTCGAATAAGAGCATGATTACTTATGCACGAGCAATCTTCTCACTGTACTCTCCTCTATTTTCAGGGACCAGCAATAATGGAGTAACGGAGGACGTGAATACGGAGCCACCACTGGCTTTCGGATTGGGGACGATTAAAGTGAAGAGAAAAAGAGACGTAGAAATTGAAGAATAAGAAGATCAGGAGTTTTTCTGCGGTTGAAAAGGACGATGGAGAAGTTCGGAGAGTTGCCAAAACGGGATTGGGGCCAGCGGCTGAGTCTGCGGGGAAGCCGGAGGAGTCATCAGGTAACCGTTAATTTTCAATCATCATTGATTCTACTCAGGATTACACATGTGTTCTTGACGCGGAAAAAAAAAGCCTGAGAAGAAAGGGATCTTTATTCCACGGAGTTCTACATCGACTGCGAAGAGCAAATGTTTTAATTGGATCGAGTCTGTATTCCGGACTGATGACGAACAGCTTTCATGTGGTTTCAGCGAAAAATTAATTCGGTTTAGTGTTGCCGTCAAGACTAGACGAGAATTATTTTGGAAAGATCCTCACGGTCTAAAAAAACATCGAAAGTTTAGGAATCGTCGTAATCTCGAAAGACATTGGATCGGTGCAGCTCGTCACGAACTTGGAAGAATCCATCACGTCTGAGTTTCAGTATTTTCTGTTTTTTAAATGTTTGTCTCGATATCTGTTTCCCCTTGTCTCGTGAATTTAAAAAACCGAAAATCTCGAGATCCAGGCAAGATAAATCCTCCCGAAATTGCGACGAGATGCACCGACCCAATGTATTTTGAGATTGCGACGATTCCTAGACTTTCGATGTTTTTCCAGATCGTGATGATCTCTTGAAAATAATTCTCGACTAGTCTCGACGGCATCACTAATTCGGTTACTTGGGGACTTTTTGCTTTGTCGGAATGTTGAAATTCTTCGATTGGTGCGGTGTTTTTGCTTTCGGATGGAAACATTGTATTCCTCAAATTCGAAATTTTCAATTTTATGGGCCAGGATAACTAATTTTGGTCTCAGGAGTTCGAATATGCTATTTTAAATGAATCCAATTGTGATTTAAAATATTTTTCTTATGGATATCTGATTGTGCCCTATGGCCATTCATTTGATATTTCTGACTTGACTTTTTTTCATTTCTTTGTATTTTCCAAAAATTTCTACCGTTCAGTAAGAATCAAACAAAAATTCTCCTTGGCACAATTGTTTTTAGAAAAACATTTGTTTTTTTTTTATTGAGGAGATTTTGCAAGTTTTTCTCAAAACGGCCACATGGTTAGTCTCCTGACCTGTTATTTCTATTTTCCGAAATGGAATGAAAACTATTTTTTATTTTTTTTCGCTCACCAAACAGGTCGTTCTCCTGAATTTAATCCCATACCTCTCGAGGATTCATTTACGCACGGAACGCAATTGAAAAATCTCTGTGGAATTTATCATTCATGCGCCAAATTCAATTTGTAAATTCCCGGGCTCCCTCCATGGCACGCGTGGTTGGATTGTACTGCTACCAACTCCGTAACAAAAAAATGATAAACGATAATGTGAAATGCGAGAATATGCATATAAACCCGTTGCTATGCGCGTAATTCTTTAAATACTGATTCGAACGAAAAAATAGTTACATCAGTGAGAAGCTTGTGGCCGATTTATATAATGTAACTAAGAGTATTTTTCATGCAGCTTGTCTCGTTTGCGTTTTATTTAATAAATATGCTTTAAGAATTTTCCAAAAATCCATTAGTTTCTGCGATTGTTGAGATCTTGTTCTAGATACTATCTCTGCGGCTTGCTGTCATTTTTATAAATTATCAAATAATCGTTCGCTAGGACTTTATTACACACTATTTGTACACTTTCTGTATGAACTTCGTATCTCAAATCTCTCCCTCTGCAATGGGGCTCTGTATCCTATAAGCAGTACTAAAATAATAATAATAATAATAATAATAATAATAATAATAATAATAATAATAATAATAATAATAATAATAATAATAATAATAATAATAATAATAATAATAATAATAATAATAATAATAATAATAATAATAATAATAATAATAATAATAATAATAATAATAATAATAATAATAATCATTAATGGATATGTTTCGGCGGTAGTGGAGGGGGTAGTTACTTGGTGTATAGATACACGACAGCATTCGGCCAGTTTTGTACAGTCAGAATCAAAACTTTTCCTTGGCCGATACGCTACCGCGTATCTCGATCATGAATTCAGGAAATTTGTGAGTCACTCATGAATTTAGCACTAGATTTCGACTCAGAAACATTCCTAAAAACTTTCAACATTCAAATAATTTTTCATTGTTCCAAAAAGTAAAGGTCTCGTTGTTATTTTCAAATCTTCTCAAGTATTAATGGAAAAATGCCAGAGCATTATATGCATTTTCTCCTCAATAATGTCAATTTTTCTACGGATACACCAAACAACTTGTTTCGAGAGGGATCATACTACTTGAATTGTCTCCGCCTGTTTCAACAAATACTTTCGACAAATGGCAAATCCTATTCTATGACGCGATAAAAAATTGTATTCTTGGCTTTTCATGAGCTGGATGTACTTACAGAATAAGAACTGGAAAACCCAGCCCGTTAGAGTACACTACCTCGCCCATGTCTGATACGCTTAAACTCGATTAAGCTACGTACGATAAGTTGATTAGAGTCGCTTCTCGTTGGTCGAGTGGGGAACATACAAGAAACCATTACAAAAATCGCCCCTTCCAATGAGTCAAGAGGAATCTCTTGGTTTCCGATTTTTCATTTCGAATAATTGACCCCAATTTCACGATTACCTTATTCGATGCTGGGAAAAAAGCTCCCCCATGTTTCAATTTCCATGCAGAGAGAAAAAAAGTTTCTAGTTTTTAGTGAAAAATTCTGAATTTCAGAACTATGTCACGGTAGAATGTAGCGATTGAAAATCATGGAAAAATGTGAAATTTCCATTTAAATATTTTATACGCAAAGCACAGTTGGAGAAAAATCACCAAACAAATCGAGTAATTGTCGATGAGAATCGCTCTCTACGTATTTTTCACCCAATATCGGAGGAAAAAATGGGAGAGGAACAGTGTGTTTTTCTCCGCTGGTTCCCTATTGGTTGGGCGAGTAAATACCACTGGCAATCTACCTAGTTTTCGACAGGTAAAAAAATAAGCAATTTGCCGAAGAGGGTTAGACGTTTCTTACAGCGGAAGGAGTCATGTCGAACGTCGAGGGGTTAAACGATCATAAATCGAGCGAAATAATCAGGAAAATTTGTCTAAAAAATATAAGTTGAGTATAAGAACTCAAAAATGTTTTTCTACCTCTTCTAAAAACCGAATTTCGTCAAAAATTAAAAAATCCAAATAATTCCCGTTTTTTGTGAGTAATACAATTGAAAAGAAATTGAAAATAATTTTTCGAAGTCTTGTTGATGACAACATAAAACATAAAAGTCTCAACAAAATTGAAATGTTGTAGGTTGGAAAGTATATCAATTATTCTCGAAAGCATCCATAAAAATCGCGATCTATTGACTTTTTCCTACAAAATATCTTCTGCTGAATATTTCTATTTACAAAAATGCGTAAGAAAGCCCATTCTATCCGGTAATAATATTCACTTTTTTCAATAAAGTAATCAATTGGAAGTACTGAAATTAAGTCCTAAAAGTACTTGAGAGAAGTTGAAAAATTACTTTTCACCAGTACTTTTGGTACTTGTGAAAAGTACTAAAAGTACTGGCAGTAAGTAGTGATACTAATTCCTCCCAGTACCATTTCTACTCGATCGGCAGATGTGGTACTTCATCCAAGGACACAAAATGTACTTCGGACGAGTATTTTTGGAACTTTTCAAAAGTGAACTTTCCCCAAGCACCGGTTTGTACTGGTGAGAAGTTTTTTTTTTTGTTGGGTGTAACCTGTGCGATTCTACTGGTTAATATATTTTTCATTGGTTATTATATTGCAACGCTGGCCGCTAACATTGACCTGCAGGGCGGGTAGGAGAATCGATTTTCGCAGTAGTGACGCAAACGAGCGTCAATTGTTCGCCGGGTAAATCGAAGGCGCGTGGCATTGCAACGAGAATATCACTTACGATGGAGAATGCATTACGTCTCCCGAGATGAGGAATTTTCCAGGAATTTTATTGAAATTGAATTTGCAGGGAGGAAATCAAGCGCCAAAGGGGAAATAAAATTGAGTAAGAATTATGCGATGATCTACGAGACCCATACCCGGTCAATAACTCTAGTGGAAAAACCTAAGGCAGAGGCGTAACACGCCTGATCAGAATTTCGGATCGGACTTGATCAGTTTCTGATCAAGACCTGAACAGAATTTCCACTCGGGAATTTGTTTTATGGAATTTCCTCGGGGTTCCGATGGGGAATAGCGAATGTGGGCGAGGGATAATTTTCCTTAGTTGTTTAAAAAATTTCATCTCTGACCACGGGATCGTGGATTCAGTTGCCCTTCCAAGTATATTGTTAAGGGTATCCAAGTAGTTCAAGCAATTTTTTCTGGAGAAAATCCTCTGCAGACCTTATAGAATAGACCAAGAGTATTTTTTAGACGCAATATCAATTTTAGTTTCTTGCTTGAAAAAAATGCGCTAACTTGAACGAAGTACTTAGATGTCCTTAACGCATCTCTAGAAAACATGTTTTTCTTACGATTGTCCCCATGTTTTTCATAAATAATGTTTATAATATTTTCCAGCAATTGAAAAAAATTCTAACTAGATGTACTACACAGTTTAGGAGATAATACATAGTGAAATGCGGGCTTCTAGCTGATTGCTGTTGCTACCATTATTTAATTAAAACTAAAAAAAGGGAGGAAAACTATAAAAATTTAGAAATAGGTCATAATTAGTAGTATGCGTTCGGGTACTCATACTCGTTCGGGTACTCCTACCTCGATGAAACAATCTTCTTAAAAACGAATTCGTGGTTAATTGATAAATTCCGAAAGCAGTCAGTTTTCTGTAAAATTTTATAGCACAGAGTTTCTGCGATATTCAACTCTAAACAATAGAAATTTCATCAAATAATCTCTTCTTTGATTTGAACAATTGATTAACAATTAATCTCTTATTTGATTCAAACAGTTATTGTTGCCTTTATCAACGACATATGAGGACAGAAAAACTCAATAATTTATGAAAATGCAACAAATCCAGTTTTTTAGAATTTTTTCCGTAAACCCATAGAGACTAATTTTTGGGTGGTATTGTCTTAGGATATACCTTAAAGGGTTATAAAAGACATTCTTTTCATGTTATTCCAGATGGAATCTTGTAGATTCGCCATATATGATATTCGGAGAATTTCTAAATACAGTTCGTGTATGATTACTATAAGAATCGAGACTTTTGTGTTTATTATACAAATTAGCGATTTCTATACACAACATGCGTATAGAAATCACCCGAATATCATATACCATGAACCTCAGTGTTGTCTCAGTGCTGCAGTCTTCAAGGTTTATTAAATAAAGATTCAATTAGTATATTCATACGTAGTCTAAATACTTTCGATTTATTCAAGTTCTATATCCGATTTTTACACCAATTTGACAAGAATCTTTCAAATGTTTTATTTTTGTTTACATGAAATGGTGCTCCAAGCTGTTTCGTGGCGAAAATCATAATTTTATGTAGGAAATTGAGTTATTACAATTTACATGGATTTTAATTTCTGTTTGTAAACAACTAGAATAATCGTGATCATTTCAGTAATGCAAGATGTAGTCACAGTGGAGAAAATTGATGATTTTTCATGTCTTCCTAGCAATTGATTATCAATTTGATACAGAACTCTTCGATTTGAAGACCTAATGACTACCTGATAAGGAATGTACCCATAGCATATGCGCATTCATTTCTCTATTTCGTTATAAGCCTTGCAAACACATTTTCCGTTGCTCAAACTCTCCTTCATATTCATAGTAGCCTTTACTACACTACATTTTCTATTGCAGTCCTCTGGCGCTAGGGAGCATGAGACTGAAATGAAGGAAAAACAACTGATATTGTTAAAAAAAAATTTCAGGAGAGTGATAGTGAATGCGATTCAGGTGGAAAAAATAATTAAATTTCAGGCTTCACTGATAATTCAATGAAATTCCAAATTTTTTAGCAGCAGAAAGACAAGAATTCCCTCATTTATTTGAATTTTCAATAACAACATGAATTTCCAGTAACAAGTTATGCAAAATTTTCAATTTATTGATAATTCAAGAATATATACCTGAATTTTCCTGATTTTTATGAATTTTTGTGGAATAGTTGAACTGAAATTCACAGTTTTTATTGATTGTACCACTTAGTTGGGGATTTAGGGAATGTTGATTGAATTGGTCGTATCAACTTTAATTATATGATAATTGAATCTTCAAGTTATTCTAATTTTAAAGTTTTCAATTATCTTCCGATAATTGAAATCACGTCTGAGTTTCAGTATTTTCTGTTTTTCAAGTGTTTGTCTCGATATCTGTCTCGTCTCGTCTCGTGAAATTAAAAAACCGAAAATCTCGAGATCCAGGCAAGATAAATGCTCCCGGATTTGTGACGAGATGCACCGATCCAATGTCTTTTGAGATTGCGACGATTCCACAACTTTCGAGGTTTTTTCAGACCGTGACGATCTCTTCGAAATAATTCTCGACTAGTCTCGACGGCATCACTAATATTCATGGTGTAACGCGAAACGATAGTGATAAATTTAATCGAATTCCGTGAAGCCCAAACATTCTGGGATTTGAGCCAATGAAAATGATTAACTTCTCTCAAGTAAATATTGTCTACATATGCACTGAGAGAAAAATCTGAAGTTCGATTTACAATAAGAAAATAGTTGAGGCATTTTGGTGAACGATACGATTTTTTTTTGTATGCGGCACATAACATTATAGTAACTTCACAAGCGTAATTTTTGCAAATCAAAATGCAGTTAAACTAACCAAAGTTCAAAAGTAACCGCGACAAATCTATCGTGAGGAGAACTATAAAATAGTTGTAATGACTACATTCCATTGTAGTAATTACTTCTGCGGCCATAGTTACCGTAATCCATGAAAAATTGTTGAGGACTTTTCGACTATAATTCGATGGTGATGGAATATAGTCAGAAGAATTATATTTTTCTCTCAGTGTGAGGAAATTTTTTGTCTCAGTGTATCGGCAATTTCTGCCGAAAATGTTCAACAGTGTATGATATACAGACCGATGAGATCATTTTTACCAAACTTTTCTCTCCGTGTGGATTGAATCGTGAGGCATTCATAAAATCATGGAATAGTTGCGTATCTACTCACCTAGGTCGACGGCGCAGAATGCAAAAAACAGCCAAAGAAGGCAATTCAGGAGCTTCATATTGTTAGAATACGAAAAATTCCCGAGGTTTTCGAGTGGACTGTAGTTTTTCGAGCTCTTGTATGAGAATTGACTGTGACTGAGCCACAGAACGGAGGCCATTATATACGCTCACAGCCATTCCGGAACTATAAACTGAAACAATGTGTAGTCACGTCATCATTTTGCCAATCGAACATTTCCTGGGAACAAAATATATCATCGCAGTGAAGTAAAGAAATAATACTTTTCAATTTTCAACGTTTTTCAATAATTTTCAACAAAATTACTATATAATTTTCAACAAAAATAAGCGCCAAAGAAGAAGTTTTGTTTGATTCTTATTGGATAGTAGAAATTTTTGAAAAAGATGAAGAAATGAAAAGAAAACCAAGTCAGAAATGTCAAGTGAATGACCACAAGGCACAATCAGATGTTTACGAGAATATGCCTAAATCGGTTTCAGAAGACAGAGGATCAGCTAGATACTCGAAAGTGAGTTGAAAAACTCGGCAAAAACAACCCCCAAATTCGTTAGTTTTCATTATTCAACACCACTGTTAGAAATTTTTTGAAACTTCATAGAAGATATGATAGTAATTCTCATGAGTGACATTGAATCGGATTTAGGGAAAAAATGGTTATGAAATTTCAAGTATTAAGTAGAATTCACGGAAATTGCTGAGTTTTCAGTGGGAGTGAGATGGCAATTTCACAATTTGATCGATTTTTCAGTGGAACACAAATATTCAGAAACAAAATGATATGAATTTTCAATTTTTCCCTGAATTTTCCCAATTTTTCTAAAGTTTTACAGAATAATTGAACTGAAAAATCAAGTATTTTATTGATTTTCAGATCATTCAAACAAAAAGTGAATGGAATATTTGATTTTTCAATGACAAGATTTCCTGAAATTTCAGTGAAAATCAAACATGACAAAAATTTCCGGGATTTGACACGGAAAATTCAGACGAAAATTTCCAACAGTGTAACATGTCTTAACGTATGTATGTGATAATTTTTTCAATTCTCATTTTGACCAATCAGAGTGTGGTATTTGGGGTCACGCGATACCTTCACATCAGATTTTTTAAAATATTTTATTGGGCTACGGGTGAACAGTAATATATATACTGAATCAAGCCGAAAATCGGTTAGAATCGAACCGACATCGACTTGAACCAGTACTTTTTTTTGGGTGTCTATTATCCTCAAGTTTTCCTGCAAAGAAACGAGAGGGTTCAGTTCAGAGATCGGAAACCAACATTAGATTAGTAACATTATGAGAAATTACACCTTACAATAATCGAGGTTTACTTATCGTCATTGAAATTTGAAAAACAATAAAATAATTAATCATTTAAATTTTCAATTGACTGAATGAAATAATCGACAATATGGAATTGTCACTGAACTATTGAGTAAATATAGATAAATTTCATTAAAAGAATTTTCGATCAGCCAAATAATTGTCAATCTGCCGAACTCAGTTACTGATTGATAAAATAATTCGGAATTTGAATATTCAATTGCTGATTAATTTAATAATTTAATAATTGTTGAGTAATATTAACACTTGACTTATTCAAAATTTAATTGTATTTAAAATTTATGATTTTGTCGATGTCTGCTCAAGTTTAAAAGAAAAATCCTGCAGTACATTATATACGGAAACAAACAGGACAATCATATAAAAGGCTCAGATGGGACAGGCAAACGGAACAATAAAAAAGGTCAAAGAAAAATTTTTGAATGCGATGTTTTCTGAGTGATCATTGCAACCAGTGATATTTTGAAAATATTACAGGAAGTGATAATTCAACGAATTTCGCTCTCGAAACTCTTGCAGAATGGCCTCGGGGAAGTTTATAGCTTCAGCGAGACTTATCGCAGTGTATTCCACGTGTTTCACGAACTTCCATTAAATTTTGGTGAGTTAGAGGCAAAAAATAAAATTGGTTATCTAAAAAATTGTTAACACCTCATGGATGAGGCATGTTTGCTGTCAAGCGCAGAATACACTCGATACGACTACAATTCAATGATTTTTAACGCATTGAAAATTTGGTGTGACGAATAACTTCAGTGTTAAAGGGTAACAGAGGGCCACTTATTTCTCGATTTTTTGAACAAATTCCTTGCACTGTTGGAGATTTTTCGAAATTTCATGGAAAATATAGTAGTAATTCTCATGAGAGTGACATCGAACCCAATTTAGGGGAAAAATGGTTATGAAATTTAAAGTTTCCGATAGAATTCAAGGAAATTCCTGAGTTTTCAGTGGGAGCGACAGGAAATTTCACAACTTGATTGAATTTTCAGTGGAATTTGCATATTCAGAAACAAAACGACATGAATTTTCAATTTTTCCCTGAATTTTCCTGATTTTCTGAATTTTCAGAAATAATTCAATTGAAATTCAAGTAATTTATTGATTTCCAGATTATTTGAACAGAAAATCAATGAAATATTTGATTTTTCAATGATAAGATTTCCTGAAATTTCAGTGGAACTTGAACGTGATAAAAATTTCCGGAATTTGGCACGGAAAATTCGGCCGAAAATTTTCAGCAGTACAATTATTATATTTTATTTATGAAACTACTTTACTGACTCGATCATTACATTGTTGAGTAGTTTCATAACCAAACTAGTATATTTAGTCATTAGGCCGAAAAAAAAATTTCTGGCGAACATGACTTTGCACACTGAGAAACATATAATTCTTCTCGTGAAAAAGTCCTCAACAATTTTTCATGGGTTACGGTAACTATGGCCGGAGAAGTAATTACTACAATGGAATGTAGTCGCCCGAGTGGAGGATTTGGTTCTGATTGGACGTATACAGGTCTTTCAAGATCTCTCCAGACCTAGATGGACCTGGTAAGTCCTAATCAGTTCTGCGACGTACTTTTCCAGAGACCTTTCGAATCCTCAGTTCTTTTCGGTCCTGAGAAATCCTCCTCGATGCTACCGAGAACGCGTGATTTTACGAGCGGGTGAAGGGGAAGGCATGTATGCGGAGGGTTGAAATTTGTAGCCAACGAGGAGACAGGGTTGCAGAATATATTTTAGCCACCCTCATCTCCCCGTTTGCAGGCGGTGTTTAAATAAAAAATAGTGAACGTTGATTCTGTATTTATTGACCCCCTGATGCCAATAAAACCCTCGGAGGTGACAAGGGTCACGAGGACCAAAGTGTCAGATCTTGGATTTTTTCAGGGGGAAAGTCGACTTTCGCCAAAATTGAATTTTTTAGCCGAGTGAACGTTGATTCTAACTATTTAAGTGACGGGCTATTCAGAAATCTGAAAAGTATGTGGAAAAAGTGAAAACTGAAAATTTTTTTTTTTCAAATTTTCAAAGGGTCAGATTTTCCGTTTTTCCCGGGGGAAAGTCGAATTTCGCCAAAATCGAATTTTTTAGCCGGGTGAACGTTGATTCCAACTATTTAAGCGACGGGCTATTCAGAACTCTCAAAAATATGTGGAAAAGGTGAAAACTGAAAAAAAAAATTTTACCGGGGGCTACAGGGTCAGATTTTCCGTTTTTACTTGGAACAATGGTCAGATGTGTTAAAACTTTCATTTTTTATTTGGATAATGCATGCAAGCGTAGGGACAAGAGTGGCTAGAATAGATTCTGCAACCTTCGCCCCTTGTTGGGTAAAAATTTCAAACCTCCACATGCATGCATATCCCCTCCACCCTCTCGTGAAATGTCGATTTTCGAGATTAAAAAAAAAACAATAATTGCATTCTTTATTTCAATAACGCATGAGTAAACAGGGATATGAACGCAGATTTAATATAGGCCCATAGAATTACGGGGACCGGCAAGGATTTGGAAAGTTCGAATNCAGATTTTCGGTTTTTACTTGGAACAATGGTCAGATTTGTTAACACTTTCATTTTTTATTTGGATAATGCATGCAAGCGTAGGGACAAGAGTGGCTAGAATAGATTCTGCAACCTTCGCCCCTTGTTGGGTAAAAATTTCAAACCTCCACATGCATGCATANCAACCTTCGCCCCTTGTTGGGTAAAAATTTCAAACCTCCACATACATGCATCTCCCCTCCACCCTCTCGTGAAATGTCGATTTTCGAGATTAAAAAAAAAACAATAATTGCATTCTTTATTTCAATAACGCATGAGTAAACAGGGATATGAACGCAGATTTAATATAGGCCCATAGAATTACGGGGACCGGCAAGGATTTGGAAAGTTCGAATACAAGTCCTGCTTACACCTAACAAGTGCTGAAATGGGACATAACCAGAGGTAGAAAGGTCTCGGAAGCACTTGTGAAGAGGCTTCCCAAGACCTATCCAGTTCTGAACGGAAAGAACTAAGTAGAACTTGTCAGGTCTAATTATTCGACTCGGGGATCCTTGCGACTATTTTATAGGCCGTGACTATTCGCACCATTGCGTGAATCACTCCCGTACACTCCATACACTCCACGCATGCGTGAAGTTTGTGTGTTTCACGCAGCCGAATTTTCATACTGCTGTGTATTTCACGCAGTTGAAGTTTCATACTACTGTGTGTTTCACGCAGTT